TCGTTAGGTGACGAGCTGCAAGGAAGCGGTCCTGTACAACCCCTATCTGCGGTGGGTCAAGGCGCCCATGTCGGTTTCAACTTCAGCAGCGTAAGAAGTAAATAAATTTGAATGAAAAAAAGTACATGCATGTCCCGACTCCTACTGTAGCGTGCACATGGGATCACACATTCCCTTTTCGCAAGGATTATTAGGCAAACTGCGCCACAAATCTTAACTGAGGTGCAAGACAGGGTGCAGTTCAAAAGTCAACAGTTCTTGTTCCCCACCCAGAACTTTCTCTTGCCTAGCCAATCTCCCACACAACACACACAGCACACACAGCACACACAGGACACACAGGACACACATACAGGCAGTTCTCTATATTGGCAAGAAATACATTGGAAATTTCTCCACATTGGCAACAAATCTCCGCGCCACACTCTCGCTCAAAACTGTCGCGCCAAAAACCACAACCATTGACACGCACACGCACGCACACGCACACACACACACGCACACACACGCACACACACACCTACACACGCACGCACGCACACGAACGAACGACATCAGCAGCTTGAAGGCGTCGCTTAAGGCCGCAGCAACGGGCGTGAACAGCAACACACGATTATGACTAAGATGAAGACACGGATGGAGAAGTACAACATCGCCATGGAAGCGATTGCGGGCCACACCAAGCAGAAGCACGTTGCGGAGAAGCATGGTGTGACGGCAGCAACACTGAGCAAGTGGGTGAAGAAGGTCAAGGCAGGAGAGCTACGAGGGGATGAGCGCGACGCATCATGCAAGAAGGCACGACCGCTCCAGTTTGGCGAGATTGAAGATCGCTTGGTGCAGTACATCAAGCTGCGCGAGCGCAAGTACCTGGTGGATGGCCTCGGGCTCTCATGGAAGCTTGTGCAAGAGAAAGCCCTCAAGTTTGCTGCAGACATGAAAGCAACGCATCCAGACAAGGCAGCAACACTTGACAACTTTCGCGCAAGCCCTGGCTGGTTTCAGGGCGTGCGCAAGCGACACAACATCAAGAGCGTGCGACTACATGGAGAGGCTGGCAGTGTTGACGAAGAGACAGCAGCAACGGCAATGGCAGAGTTCAAGCAAGCAGTTTCTGCTACGAGCATCACCAACCCCCAATTCGTCTTCAACGCAGATGAAACTGGCCTCTTCTACCAGACGTTACCTTCAAGACTCTACGTGTCTCGATCGGAGCGCAGTGTTCGCGGAGTGAAGCAGATGGCGGCAAAAGCACGGCTGACGATCATGACGGCAACATCAGCAGCGGGGGAGAAAGTGCCACTCTTCTCTGTCGGAAAGAGCCGGAGACCTATGTGCCTTCGTGACGACTTCCCACCAGTGCGGTACACGTCTCAAGCATCAGCCTGGTTCGACACTGACATGGCCAATTACTACGTGCGTTTCTTTCTCAAGTGGAAGCGTTCACGCTATGGAGACGAGCCTGTTGTTCTCATCTGGGACAATTGCCCGGCACACAAAAACGTCACCAACCCTGCGCCGAAGGAGCTGCACCTGTTGTTCTTGCCCCCAAACCTAACGTCAAAACACCAGCCCATGGATATGGGCTTGATATCGGCCGTGAAAATGCGATACAAGGCATACGTGCTGCAGCAGCTCCTCGCATACTACGACGACGGGCAGCAGACACCACTACCGAAGAGCCGTGGCTTGCGTGGTCTTGCCCATGGAGCGCCACCAAACATTCGAGACGCGTTGACGATCTTGAAACGAGTGTGGGAGGAGGTCAAGCCTGAGTCAGTGGTGCGGTGCTGGATGAAGGCAGCTTGCCTACCCGAAAGCCTTTTCCCACAGCAGCATACACAGCAACAGCAGCGAGTGACTTCGGATGAGATGCTGACAGAACGGAGCAGTGAAGAGGAAGGGCAGGAAGGGGAGGGCGGACAGCTGGTACAAAATGGGCTCGGAGCGGAGAATGAACAGTACGATGAGGCGGAACAGAGAATGACGGAGAGCAGGAGCGATTGATGAAATAAGTCACTCGCTCAATCACTGCAA